AATGTGTTAGTTGTAAATGTAATAAGTAGGACATTAACACACATTTTCATTTAAATGCAACTTTGTTTACTTTGGCAAGCTCATTTATGCAATTTTGTATGTGTATTTATAGAGTTTAGGCTGGTTTAGTGCTGCAGGATCAGCACTGGACTGTGAACCACAAGTTCAAACCCACCATCTGCTCCTCAGAAACCCTGTACAGGGTCGCTGTGAGTCAGAATTGACTCGACTGCCCTTAACAAGAACAAGGCATGCTATTAATCTCCTTGTTGTTTCTAAGCGCTGTTGACTTTGTTCTGACTCATAGCAACCCTGTATAGGGTTTCTGTGACTTTAAATCTCCATGGAAGCAGAAAGCCTCATCTTTTATCTTCGGTAATAATATACATAAAACAGTGAACACACCTTCCAATGTAAAAAAAAAAAAAAAAAGATGCCACCAGGTCTTTTACTTCACATTGTGTCACATGATAAGGAAGTCAGAGTACATACAAAATATAAACTAATGATTAGTTCAGAAAATTATTATTTATTTTAAAACTGGTTTAATAAAAGTAAATAAACATATGAATACTTTTGATAATCTATTACACAAATATCTACTTGATAATGTTTTCTAAAGCATGACATTTATGAAAGCTTTTAGAAATAAAAGGATTTATTTTAAAAAAAAGCACACACACAAAAAACAACTTTCATAGAGTTGAGCCTGACTCACAGTGAACCTGTAGGACAGAGGATCTCCGAGGCTGTAAATCTTCACGACAGCATACAGCCTCATCCTACTCCAGTGGAGTGGCTGCTTGGGGGTTTAGACCTTTAAATTAAAAAAAATGTATTTTAAATTTCACCCGCTGTTTTTTCCTCTTGATTTATTTGTATTTTGCTTTCATATATAAACATTTTTCATCTTTCCTTCTGATATTAACCCTGTGTTTTAAGGTTTGGTTTCCTTATAGTTTTTTACTTTTCATTACTTACAGTTTTTGGTTTCCATTACTTATATAGTTTTTTAGCTATTAAACTTAATGTTTGATGGAGTCCCTGTGTGGTGCAGATGTGGTTGTTGGTGGCAACCAGCTGGTCCTGGGAAGCTCTTGAGCTCATAGCTCTGGGTGATGGCAGCATAAGTTCAGGAAGCAGCTATACCAACAGTGTGGTGATCAATCACTGCTGTCCTGTGCTCCTGACACCTGTACACTGTGTCCATGTCCCCACCACCCTGCTCTGTGTTAGATGTATGCACAGCCCCAATTCCCGTCCTCTGCCTGGCCCATTCGCACACCTGGCAAGTCCATTGGGCTCCCTCCCCCCCTCCCCCTATACAGTTTTAATATAGAAGACTTTAACTATGGATTGTACGGGAACTGTATGGTGTTCATACAACATTCATGTTGCATTACAGTCTATTTCATATTGCATATCATGGACGTTAAATGATGCTGTTGTTAAGTGCCATTGAGTTGTTTCCAACTCATAGCAAACCTGGATAGGGTTTCCAAGCTTTTAAATCTTCATGGGAGCAGAAAGCTTCATCTTTCTCCTTCAGAAGGACTGGTGGGCTCCAACTGCAGACCTTAAGGTTCGTGGTCCATCGCTTATCATGTGGAGCCACTGTGTTCCCTGTTACTACTAATGATAACATGTAAAAAACAAAAAAACCCAGATGGTCCTAAGTGTGGTTCTTAACTTGAATGCAGTGTAAGTCCAGGACTACCTGTAATATCAAGGAAAAGAAATAAAAGCAGTTAGAGATAAGCCAAATAATGCCTTTGAGATGTTAGGAGAGACGATTTGAGAAAACTATTGGGGTTCGCAAGAGAAACAGGCTTTCTACTAGGTGAAGCTTTAAAGCTTTGGAAACCCTATACAGTGTCACTATGAGTCAGAACCGACTTGATGGAACTTACCAACAACCACCACCACTGGATTAAGTATTTAGATATCTGTTGTTGATGATGATGTTAAGTGCCGCTGAATCAGTTTGTACTCATAGTGACCTTGTATAAGGTTTCCAAAGAGAGACTGATGGGTTTGAACCCCTGGCCTTTTGGTTAGCAATCTGGTCCTTATTCTGCAGTGCCACACCAAGACTCCTAGGCATTCTGGGAAAGCTGACTTGAGTAAACTGAAAGCAGAACAACATTTTAAGGGATAAGGATATTTGCATAATGGGAAACACTGGCAAAGAAGGTTCTTTATGCAATGGGTCAGGAGTAAAGGAGGAAAGACTATTAAGTAAGGTCTTTGGGAATGAATGGGAGGGATTTGGGGAAAGTAGGCAGAATACCTCACTTAATGGACACAAAAGAATAAAAGAGATATGTGAAGATGGAAAATTTTGTTGGAGGAATTAAATTCTTCACAGGTTTTTGGTAAAAATGAAATAAATAGTAAATGCCTTCCTTTTGCAACTATAAGTTTAGTGCTTTGCATTGTCTTTAGGAATCATGTTTTCTTTTGAGGATGTTTACTTTTTTCTATTTTTCTTGTTAAGGGCCTTGGAGTTGGTTCCGACTTACAGTGATTCTTTCTTTCTTTTTAATCTTGTTACCTTTCCTGACGTAGTTTTATTCTATCACTGAAATTTTATTTTGTAAATAGGTGAATCTTTCCATATTTTTTTAAATGTTTTATTGTGAATTGAATGAATGTTTGTAGAGCAGATCATCAGTTTTATATTCAACAAATCATATACTTGGCTTCATTATATGCTGGCAATCCTCTCCATGCACCAATAGTTAACATGTTTTACTGCTATTCACTCCAACCATTGCATTCCTTCCTGTGTCCCACACTGCCATCTTTCCTCTGCCAGCCTCCTTCCGATTGTATATTGTCTGCCCCATCACCCATGTCAATACGTGTCTACCCTCTAACATATATATATACATATACACACACACATATATGTTGTTGTTGTTATGTGCCATGGAGTCGGTTCCGACTCATAGCAACCCTGTACAGGGTTTCTGAGGCTGTAAATCTTTACGGGAGCAGAAAGCCTCATCTTTCTCCTGCGGAACAGCTGGTAGTTTCGAACTGCTGACCTTGCAGTTTGCAGCCCGATTCGTAACCACTACGCAACCAGAGCTCCATGTATATTCAAAAACATGCAGGAATATATAACCATTTAAACATCAGGACATATTCTGAAAGCTAGTTTCCTGGCCACCAGTACACAGCCTTTCTATTTCCATGAGTCTAGAGTCCTCAGCTGCTCAATCTTCCCATGCTATCGCCTCTGCCTCCATCTCTGTTGTTGCTACTTCTCTGGTTAGGGTCCCATGTTCAGCTCTTGCTCTTCTCTCTTGATGGCCCTAGGGTCTTCTGTTCCTGGAATGCATCATTAACTTCCCCCCATTTTTTGTTACATAGCCTCTACCTTTACAGTTGTGACAGTCACAATTAGGTATGACAACAACTACTCAACCATTGAATCAGTGAATCCCATCCCCATCTCCTTTCACCTGACCCATCTAGACAAGAGGAAAGCTATTCAGTGGGGATTCTACCTTCCACACTCTCAAACTAAACTTCTTCTTGAAAACTTGTAAGTCAGCCAGTTCGTGCCTTTATAGTCTGCCCACCCCAACTCCTCCCATTTTAGGTAGCCAGTGCCTTAAGTTGCCTGTTCTTATCAACCCTGCGTACAAACAGAGGGGGATAGGTTTGATGTATTTATAGTGATTATAGGGTTTCCAAGGAACAGCTGGTGGGTTTGAACTGCTGACCTTGTGGTTAAGCAGTCCAGTGCTTATCCTACTTTACCACACCAGGCATCGTTTTTCTTATTAGAAACAAATATACTGTAATAGTGTTAAGCATTTATATGACACTTAACTTTTATAGCGTATGGCTGCGAAAAGATTAGCAGTTCACATCTACCTGCTGTTGTATGGAAAAAAAAGACTTGGTGATCTGTTCCTATAAAGAGTTCTATTGAGACCCTGTGGAGCAGTTCTGTTTGTCTTGTAGGTCTCTGTGAGTAAGAATTGACTGGATAGCACAGCACACAATAGCCTGTATGGCTTAATCTTTTCTTCTTTGGATTTCTGAATTTCGGAGCCCACACAGTGTTCATGCTTTTGCTTACAGATGTTCATTAATGTTTAATTAATAAATATTAATATATAATTGATAGACATATTTCCACTATCTTTATCTTTTTACCTCTTTATTAATTTCATGGGTGTAATTTGAGCTTTATTATTAAGTGCTGTCAAGTTGGTTCTGACTCATAGTGACCCTGTATAGGGTTTTCTGGAGTGGCTGATGAGTCTGAACTACTGACCTTGTGGTTCAAACCAACCTTGTGGTCCAGTGCATTATCCTACAGTGCCACACATAAAAAATGATTCTAATTTTGTCATCTCCTTTGTGGTGCCTTATTGGGAACTTTGGAAATTGTGGTGGTCCTAGCATGATTCCTTTTAGAAACAAGAGAGATTTGTTAAAAAGGAAATATGGTAAAAAGAAAGCTAAGGAATTTCTGTGTTTGTTGCTGTTACATTATGCATGTATTTTTCTCTCTTTTTTTTTTTTTGATTTGTGAATCTTATTCACACCTCCTTGACTTGGTATCATTTTTAAGGCATGAGATTAAAGTAAAATTGACAATAGGTATCAGAGGAGAATGTCTGGAGGGCTTTGTCCATATTGACCTTCATTCAACTTTTCATTTTTGATTTTCTGATATTAAAATGTAAAGATTATGTTTTCTAAAATACTCATCATTTCAGTAAACACTGATTAATCATATGGTACATTCAAAATGGCACTACACCATGTGTATAACTTTGTCTTAAACTTCCTCTTTGTGTGTGCCTTGGTGGGTGTGGGGAGCTAACTAAATCTTGACCATCAATACTGTGTTAATGAGTGTCAAATAGAAACCTGATTCTGAATAAATTCTGCTTTTGTATTACAAAACATTTCCTAAAGCATGGTGTTTTATAGTAATTAAAGTATGGAGTTTCAAAAACCATTTTTCCCAACAGGTGGGAAGGAGAAACCAAAAACAAATATAGAAGATTTACAAATTAAAAAGGTAAAGAAGAAAAAGAAAAAGAAACATAAAGAAAACGAAAAACGGAAACGTCCAAAAATGTATAGCAAATCTATTCAGACCATCTGCTCAGGATTGCTATCTGATGTTGAAGATCAAGAAGCCAAAGGGATCCTAAGTGATAACATAAAGGACTACATTGGAAAGAATTTGGATACCAAGAACTCTGATTCCAAAATTCCAGAAAACAGTGAGTTTCCATTTGTCTCATTAAAGGAGCCACGGGTTCAGAATAACCTCAGAAGGTTGGACACTTTGGAGTTCAAACAGCTCATTCATATTGAGCACCAGCCTAATGGAGGTGCATCAGTTATCCATGCCTACAGTAATGAGCTCTCCCAGTTGTCTCCTGTGGAGATGGAGAGGTTTGCAGAAGAATTTGTGGGACTGGTATTCAGTGAAAATGAAAACTCTGCAGCTTTTTATGTAATGGGTATTGTTCATGGGGCAGCTACTTATTTACCTGACTTTTTAGACTACTTTTCATTTAATTTTCCCAATTCACCAGTGAAAATGGAGATATTAGGAAAGAAAGATATAGAGACAACAACTATGTCCAATTTTCATGCTCAGGTAAGAGGTTTTTAGCTTTTGTGTTTTTTGTTTTTTTTAATAACCTTTAATTATATGATTTGGAGAAATTTGTTCTTTGTTTCAGATTTTCTGTAGGTTTGATATAAAAAGGTAAGAATACAATGAAACCTTTTGGAATATTAAGAATGCATTACTTCTTTGATATGAATTTAAAATTTTTAATTTCAGTTTCTAGTTGTCTGTCTTCTTAAAGATAATTAATGAAGTCATTAAGTGTCTGTTCTCCTTTTTTGGAAGGCTTTTTCTTGGAATGAATTTAGCCATGCAGTTCCAGTCCTTAAGACTGTGTGTATGTGTGATGTTGGTTTTTATCCTGAAAATCACTAAATATTGCTTTTTGCTCTTTGAGGTAACACCTTTAAAGTACTTAGCACTGGCCCCATCACAGGGTAGATGCTTGATAAATGTAGGCTGTTAACTATATTTGATATAAAGGACCTACCAGCCATTGTGTGGTTATAGGAGAAAATGAACAAATCAGTGCATATTTTGAGCTACTTTCCATTTCCTTTCTCTGTGGGTAGAATTGTTTAGAAGACAGAGGTTTGGTCTGCTGGCTTTTGAAGATGAAAGACTAGGGCCATTGTTACCTATCCCCAGATGAGGGACTGCTTAGACCAAGAGATTGACTAGTGTTCAGTTTATGATTTTTTGGTGCTATAACTAATGGTTTTCTCAGAGCCATAGTAATTGATAACATTCTAGTTTAGAAGGCAGAAAGAATAAAGTTTCAGAGAGAATCTTAGTAATGATCTATTCTAATCGTTCTCAACTTACAGAGAAATACACATAGCTAGGAGAAATGACTTTTTTTTTTTTTTTGTAGGTTATAATTGTTACCTTAGAAACGATAGTCTGATGTCCACTTGCGTCTACATATACCAGCTGCCTGATACTTGGTGTATGCGCTGTAGAGTACTGTATGTTAGGAAATGTGGTCATTTTAGCATGTGTATGTAGGGACAGACTTTTCGCTGATGTAGTATGTTTGAGAACTGGAATTTAAGTAATTTCTAGAGTTGAAAGGAAGCTATAGAGCAGCTCCAGAGGTTAGTGACTTATCTAAGATTACACCTGAATTTAGTGGCAGAACCAGGACTGGGATCTACTGTTTATTGAATATGGACTGTGCCGAGAACTCTTTTAAGTAGTTTATGTACAATAACTCATTTAGTCCTTGCACAGTCTAATTTATTAGTGAGGAAACCAGAGACACAGTAAAAGAGAAGAAATAATTTGCCCTAAGTCCCTTGGCACTGGCTCATTCCATTAATTGCATGCCTGCTAAATATTGGATATTATGTTAAGCCTCTCTCCTACCATTCTGTTTCTACTATATCACAAATTTTGTTGCTGCTCCAGTGACACACAACAGCAACATACATGCAAATTTATTTCAGTAATTTTTTGAATGTAATAATACATTGTCCTTCAAAAGCTTTTATGTAAAATTCCAAGCTTATTGTCCTTAAGTTGATTATGGAGAGTACCGTACAGGACACATTAGTACTGCCACAGAGACTTTCCAAAGTTGTAAATCTTTATGGGAGCAGACTGCCACAGCTTTCTCCCACAAACAAGCTGGTAGGTTCAAACTGCCAACCTTATGGTTAGCAGCCAAGCCCTTAACTACTGTACCATAGGACTTCTGTGTAAGGTTGTTAGTGGTAATGGTTTTGTATCATGAAGTCGATTCTGACTCATAGCAACCCTGTATAAGGTTTTCAAGGCTATAAATCTTTATGCGAGCACAAAGCCTCATCTTTCTCCCACGAGCGCCTGGTAGTTTTGAACTACTGACTTTCTGGTTAGCAGCCCGACTTAACTATGTAAGAAGTGCAACATAAAAACTGCTTTTGTTATTAAATAAGATGCTGATACTCTAATTATGCCAGCATGTGGCTGGATTGTGGATCACACTTAGCCTGGTTGCCACCACCTCTTCAGGGTTCCTACGATACTAGTATATATTGCAGAGAATGCTGTAGGCAAATGCAGGCAGGAAGCTGCGTATACTAAGTCATTATTCCTTTTACTCTAAGGCTCTTAGGATTTTATCATTTCTGTGGTGAGGGTAAGAATATCTAGAACAGCTGCACTACACTAATAATTTGATTTTTACCTCTGCAACACTAGACTGAGAAAGTTTAGAAGAGTTATCAGCAGGCTGGGAGGTAGCCGTACGCTTTGTGTACACACTTGTTTAAGAAACAAAATGGGACCCAAAAGGACAACAGTAGAAGAAAAATGAACATTCTTGTTCTAGCTTAGTTTATTTCTAAACCTTAACCTAATTTGTCAGTAAAAGCTCTATTCTTAACCTAATTTGTAGTGTCCCTTCAGGGCTTGATTTCTTAAATAAACCTTTTATTGAAGTATACTTTGTAGACAGAAGAGGTCACAAAGTATATAAGTGTATGAGTTGGTGAGTCTTCACAAAATGAATACACCCATGGGTTGTCGTTTGTTTTTGTTTTTGTTTTTCCTTAAATGTTTTATTGTGAATTATGTGATAGTTTACATAGGAGAACATTAGTTTTACATTCATTCTATCGTATATTGTCTCATTGCCATGGTTACAATCCCCTCCATGCAATCCTTCCCCCGTACCCCCCAGGTCTTCAGCACACAGTGTCGCTCTCCCTCTCTGGATCTAAAGTCTCCAGCTGCTCCGTCGCTCCACGTCGTCATCTCTGCCTCCATTTCAGACATCACTGCTTCTCTGGTTAGGGTCCCGCTCTCTGCTCTTCTCCCTTGATGGTCCTAGGGACCTCCACTCCTAGACTGAAAAGTTAATCACTCCCCTCCTTGCTGTAAAACGTCTACCTTTACATTTCCAACCCTCACAATCAGTCCTGATGACAATTATTCACTATTGTATCACAAGAGACCCATCTACATTTCATTGCATCAGCCCCACCTAGACAGATTGAATACTACTCAGTGGAGATTGAATCTTCCTCCATGCCCTCTGGATCTAGGTTTCCTCTTGAAAGCTTGTAAGCCAGTCACTTCTTGCCTTTATAGCCCCCTGCCCCCCATTTTGAGTAGCCAGTGTTCAAGTTCCTCAACCCTGTCTACTCTGTGTGTGGAGGGGTGGGGATGATTCTTGCTGTAAGGACTTGTTCCCGCTTTTGACTTACTGCTTCCATAGGTGTAGGGTTGTTGTTTTTTAAACTTTTATTGTGAATTGAGTGATAGTTTACATGGGAGAACATCAGTTTTGCACTAAACGTATTGTGTTTTGTTTCATTGCAATCAATGATTACAATCCCCTCCATGCATCATCGGTTACCAGTATTTGCTTCTATTCTCTGTTTTTTGGCTTTTTTTTTTTTTTTTTTTTGATGTACACAATAACATGCAGGGATATATAATCATTTAAATAACCAAAAAGCACATTCTGCAAGCCAGTCTCTTGGCTGCCAGTACACAGCCTTTCTCTTTTCATGAGTCTAGCTGCTCTCTCTCTCTCTCTCCATGCCATCACCTCTACCTCCATATCTGGTGTCGCTGCTTCTCTGGTTAGGGTCCTGTGTTCCACTCATGCTGTTGTCTTTTGATGGTCATAGGGTCCTCTGTTCCTGGAATGTAAGATTAACTGGTGGTGGTATGCTGTGGAGTTGGTTCCTACTCATAGCAACCCTGCATAGGGTTTCCGAGGCTGTAAATCTTTACAGGCGCAAAAAACTTCATCTTTCTCCTGTGAAACAACTGATAGTTTCAAACTGCTGACCTTGAGCTTAGCAGCCCGATTTGTAACCACTACTCTACCAGAGCTCTTTGTAAGATTAACTACTCCCCCCCTTTTTGTTACACAACTTCTACCTTTACAGTTGTGACAATTGCAATTAGGTATGATACCAGCTATTCACTGTTGAATCAAAAGAATTCTATCCCCATCTCCTTTTATCAGATACATCTAGACAAGATAAAAACTATTTAGTGGGGATTCTACCTTCCACCACCCCCCCCCATCACACTCTAAAACTAAACTCCCTCTTGAAAACTTGTAGGGCAGCCAGTTCATGCCTTTATAACCCACTCCCCACCAAACACACACATTTTAGGTAGCCAATGTCTAAGTTGCCTGTCCCTATCAACCCTGTGTACAGAGGAGATAGACTTGATCCTTGATGTGAAGACTCCTTCCCTCTCAGGTGGTATTTTGAACTTTTATATTCATAAGTATAGGTCAAGTTCATCAAATTGTAGCAGATTGCACATGTTCTCGTTATCAACCATCCTTATCTTCCTTAGTTGAAGTTCTGGTTAACTAGCCATCGAAGCTAGGTCAAATGGGTATGATCTGCGAATTTGGGAATTCTTGTGCATCTCCTCCCACCACACCCATGAATTTAAAAAAAAATTGAATATTGCTGGTAGCCAGAAACCCTCCGTAAGTCCCTTCTTATAACTGGACTCTTTACCTCCACCACACAGGCAAACACCCAGGTAACTTATCCTGATTTTGAACATCACACATAAGTTGGGTCTGTTTTTTAACTATTCTATAAATAGAATCAAATAGTATACACTATTGTTGTCTCTGACTTCTTTCCCTCAACATTGTGTTTGTAGGATTCAGCCATCTTGTGTGTTACTGTTGTTGTCATCAAGTGACGTCAAGTCGGTTGTGTCTCGCAGAGACCCTTACACAGGGTTTCTGAGGAGCAGTTGTTGTGTTTGAACTACCAACCTTGCAGCTAGCACCCTTGCAACACCACACCAGAACTCCACTTGTGTATAGCAGTTGTTTATTCTTTCTCATTACTGTATAGTATTCTACTTTTTATTAGATTTATTACTAGATATTTGAGGACTCCACTTTATTAATCACTCTTTGAGGGCTTACTCATCTGACCATCTCTTCTTATATAGTATAGTATTCCATTGCATGCATAGACTATAATTTATTTATTTATTTACCTTGTTTGCTGTGGTTGGACATTTGAATTGTTTCCAGTTTGGGACTAAAT